CATTACTTCCCAAAAGTTAAACATTTTAGTAATTTCAGTGCTTTGCACATAGCACTCAACAAATGTTTGTTGGATTGAATTAAAATTATAATAGACCCCAAACTATTCTGTTCTAGACAGTAAGTTTGTCCATAGTTTCATAATCACAGACGTAAGACTTTTAAAATTTTAATTAAGAGCCATGCCACAAAGAGGTAGCATGTATATGGTACTACAAAGAATGGAGACTTAGATTCAGTTATAACTGTGTAATTTCCCATTCTTATAAGTAGCCTGGTGGTTCTCAAAGAATAGTTGACCACAGGTAGGCTACAGCCTGGTTCCTTGTATTGAAAAGCTATCCATTTTTGCCTTGGTTGTGAACTAAATAATTCATTTATGATATTTAACACCCTAACCAATTCTAATCTAAGTCAGCACTTTAAACAGTGGTCAGCACTTCAGAAACTTCACCAGCAAGGTATGGATTTTTAAAAACATATATACTGACCTAAAAAAAAGGCCTGGGTTTAAGTCCATAAGCAAAGAGCTACACTTACCTAGATCTATTTCCTCATCTATAAAATGAGAGTGTTGGTCTAGATGTTTACCTCTAAACTCCGTTCCAGGTCTAACATTCTGTGTTTCACAGTAAAAGCAGAACATAAAGGGTGGCGCTTATCAGCGAACAGTGGATCAAACACAGTCTAATAGTCTACTGTGACTACATGTTGCTACATGAGAATCCATGGACAGACTGCAGTGTATCTGATCCCGCACATATCTACATCTATTAAAGGCACTCTCGCTTCTGCATTTCACAAGGAAATTCCCATTGGATCCCTTTCTCAAATTACCAAAAGTGCTCAAAAGCCCCAGTTAAAGGCACTTCAATAAATTTCATTTCACAGACACCCAAAATCCAGCATCCTTTGCCACTAGTCCTTTTTAAGAAACACCATGCCTTGATTTCCTAGACACTGAAACAATAACATTAATCAGTTCATTACCTATCACCAATCTCTCTGTCAATACATACTTTGCCTCCCACACCGCATCCCCAAAGTCTTAGAAATTGTGGAATGCTGTCAGGGTTAAAGAGTATTTGCTCAAAGATTTCAGGCACACTTATCTCTGATCAGATTATATCTACTTAATTTCCCCTGTTAGTTACTGTATGGCTGCCAGTGAAGGATCAGTACCCCTAAGGCTGTAATCGATATCTGAATAAAGATACTTCAGGGGTTCTAAAGCAGAATGCGGACAGGAAACAAATTTAGGAAATCCTGCTTTCTGTTACAGGAAATGAATCTGTGCCAACTGGTAAAAATTACTCTCGCAGCTTTGGAGGGAAATGAATAAAAGTTTCTGTATGCATTTCATAAACTGACCTTGCCTAGAATATTTTATTGATATAGAATTTCAAAGGGAGTATTTTCAACTCTAGCAAAACTTTCACTTAGTCCAGGAGGAATTCAGAAACAGTAAGACTTTCTGAAAAATTCTATTTAAGCTGAAATGAAGAAATGGGACTGAATGATCTCTAAGGTTTAATGGTTAAAAAATAATGCATCATGAATTGCTTCAAAGTATTGTCTTTATCCAATGTCTTCAGCCAAAAGTATTTATTTTGCTGAAATCACTCAGGATTCAAAATCGAGGTAAAAAAAAAAAGAAAGAAAATGAAAAATTTCCCTTAATGAAAAAGAAGAAAGCGCTTCAACTCTCTGAATGATTGACATTTACAACTCTGAACTAGACCCTAAGAAGAAAATGATACTAATAATTACATCTAGATTGTACTTTAAGTATCCAAAGCACTTCACTCGCAACCCTTGTACACTAGTGCAAGTATTATTATCCCTACTTTAAAGATGAGGAAACTGAGACTCAGAAGAGGGAGGTGATTGAGGATCCCTGAATAAGCACAACAGAGGCAAAAGGACAAAACAACCGGCTGCTTATCCCTGGCCAATACAGCTAAACAAGGGTCAGAACCAGGACTTGAAACTGGATCTCCTGACTCTAGCTCTAGTGATTTCTACAGCACTGTGTAATATATAAGCGTCTCAAACTCCAGGTGGGTACACAGAAAGATGTGAGAAACTATTAAAAACTCAAGAAAATTCAAACCATTATCCAATTTTTCAAACAATATTAGAAAACAACTATGAGCAATAAGATAAACAACATCTGGAAATTATACAGATTCTAATTCTGTCAAGTAATGGGAGCAAATCAATCCACAAGCATTCGTTAAGTTCCTGCTCTATGCCAAGGCCTGTGTTAGCCACTAGGGAAACAAAATATAAAGCAATCCCTCCTCTCAAGGAACATGCACTCTAGCAAAGCGTGTGTGTGTGTGTGTGTGTGTGTGTGTGTGTGTGTGTGTGTGTGTGTGTGTGTATACATATGTATGTGTATATGTCTATAGGGGCAATTGGTGGCATTGGGGGTTTGGAATCAGGAAGACTCCTCTCTTCCTGAGTTCAAATCCAGCCTCAGACACTTAGTAGCTATATGTCTCTGGGAAAATCATTCAACCTTGTCTGACTCAGTTCCTCATCAGTAAAATGAGCTAGAAAAGGAAATGGCAAACCACTCTAGTATCTTTGCCAAGAAAACCCCAAACGGGGTCATGAAGAATTGAACATGACTGAATAACAACAAATATGTATATAAATGCACACACTATATACACACACATATATACATACACATACATAGTATATGTGTGTGTACACACACTATATAACATATTCTTTCTCTCTGAATTATCCTTCAGTAATAATATAATAATAATAGATAGCATTTAAAAGGCACCTACAATGTGCCAGGCATTATGATAAGCACTTTACAGATATTAACTCATTTGATCTTCATAACAACCCTGGTTGGTACGTGCTGCTGATATCCCCACTTCATGGTTGAGAAAACTGAGGCTTAGCGTCAAACAGCTAGCAAATTTCTGAGGACTGCATTTGATTTATACTCGAACTCAGGTCCTCCTGAGCTCTACCCACTGCTCCATCTAGCATCCTCTGGCCCTAGTAAAGCCATTATTCAACAACTCTCAAACTAGACGAGATGTCAGAGAAACGAGAATAGGTGTCACAAAACAAATCCATTAACTCAAAATATTTCTGGTAATTATGATTGGTTTAGGATTTTGTTGTTGTTGCTGTTGTTTTCTTTTGGGAAAGTCACATAGAGACTGTAAGTAGACCAGGGAGAAAACTGCACATTTCCAAACTTAAAGCCGTACATGGGACCACAAAGAAATCTTCAACTTCTGAAAGTCTGTCCAAATTCCATTGTCACAAGTTAAAGGAATCTGGTAGTTACGCCACTCCTAGGAATTTGTCATACTGCCACTATGGCACAGATTTTAACAGTTCACTGAAGACATGAAATTCCGGTATCCAAAATCTTACTTCAAGTGAAGTCAAAGAAAAATTAAAGCAAGAACAAGAGGGCAAAGGACACATATAAGATTTCATTTAAGTTTCATTTATGCCTCTAATGCACTCAGTACTGTTCATTTGAGTCTTTCTCCCACAAGATTATAAGCTCCATGATGGCAGTGGGCATGGCTTAGCTCCCCTCTACCAGTGTCCAGAAAAGGATCTGCAGACAAAAATCACTTTTAATAGATATTTGATGATTGATTGATCTAAGGCAAGGGTTCTTCATCTCTATGTATGCCATGGACACCTTTGGCAGGCTAATGAATTCTATGGACCCCTTCTCATAATGTTTGCAAATGTGTAAAATAAAATACACAGAAGCAACAAGGAAAAGAACTATACTGAAATAGTGATTAAATTTTTTTTTTAAAAAACAAGTTGATAGACTCTAGGTTAAAAAGTCCTGATTTAAGGGATCTGGGAATATAAGAGATTAATTGTGAGGTAAAATAAGGATATCTAAGCATATCAGAGCAACTCTTTAAGCAGAAAGATCAAAATATCTGGAGCCAAAAAGGATCCTAAAAACAAAAGCCCTTATCCCTCCCCTCTTCATTTTTCAGATGAGGAAACTGAGGCTCAGAGAGGTTAAGTGACTTGCCCAAGGTCACACAAGTAGTAAGTAGAGGAGATGGGATTTGACTCCAAATCTAGTGCTCTATTACCAAATCTGTATTCCCTTTGAAAAAGGAGATGACACTACCCCAAGCACAGACATCATATACAGAGATCTTGCTGTGTGCCTATAGCCTAATGGCTTTCCCTTTCCGGGCCTTGGTTCACTGTCTGTAAAATGGGTATAATAATATCTGAATACTTTACCTTACTATGTTGGCTAAAGTGATTTGTAAACTCTTGAGGACTGTATATAAATGTATACAAATGAGTTCTTCATAATTAATTATAATATAATTAATGATTATATAATGATCAATCCTAATACATAATTAGGAGAACAAATAATTAATTTTTCTGAATTATATCTCAAGTCAGCATGACAGAAGATATAAAAACACTTTCCTGATGAGTGAGCAAACTCTACATGGAAGCAATGGGCATTCTTAGCTATATGAGAAACTAGAAGGAAAACTAATTAGGAGCTCATTATAAACAAACATAAAATGGGCAATTCTATTTCCAGGGTCTACACTCACTATGAAGGGAGACAAATGAGTTCTTTTGGTTTTAGTAATAGAATATGCTTCAACATGAAAGGACGTCTTAAAGGTATGTGGCTTTTAAATTGGACCACATGCCTTTTAAACACTAGTCATTCCCTGCTGTTAATCAAGACCTCTTACTCTTTCCTAATTCCATACTTATCTTAAGGCAAAAACTTCTTACTTAAAGTCCAACTAATTCTCTCATTTATTTCTAAATGTGTTTATCCCAAAACACTGTATCCAGCCATTTGTCTTCATCCTATTTCATTAGCAATTATCTACTCTGATTCCAAGTTTCCTGATAACTCCTTGGGAAATTGCCAATTTCAAGCTTGTAAAAACATGCAAGGAATGGCCCACATCCCAAGTTTTAGCTGACTGGAGGATTTACCTCATCTGGGCTAGATGCCTGGTACACCCGGCACGAGTCCTCATAATGTTTCTCTGCTTCTGCCTGATCCGTCACTCCATTAGACTCATAGACTGGTGTAACATTGTGGCAGAGGGCAATCGCTTTCACAGCTTCATGAACACGGCTACTCATGGTTTTCCGGACTTTGGTGGTGAGTGTAGGGCCCTTTAAAGTGGGTGGGTCTTGAGATTGCTAGAGAGAGAAGAAATCAAAAAGAAAGACAATTGAAGATGAAAGGCTTCAAAGAGGAAAAATCCCAGCCAGAGTGCAATCCCCTTCTCTAGTTCTCCTAATATAGACATACATCATGCACGTACCTTCTGTGATGCTTTGGGAACCATTTTCTCAAGAAGTACTGACTCCATTTAAATGTTTTTCACAGGTGGAGTATACCCACTTGACAAATTAACTGTCCTCATTTTCAGGTAATCAGTGACAATATTTAACTCAGACTTGTAGCAGAGGAAACAAATGAAACAAAAACCAAGATGGAATGCACAAATATTGGTACTGAAATCTCTAACCCAGTTTTGGAGGGCAATGATGACCTACAGCAAATCTACTTTTCCCACAACTAATGGTAGCTAGAGTTTGAGCCTAGTAGCTCAATGTGTCCAAAAAGCCTTCAGATTTAATGTTCTGTTTAAAAGCGATCTCATTCAACAGAAGACAAGTGATCTAATGTTAGAAAGAACTGATATTTAGATGCATGAACACATGGTTGCCCCAAAATAGAAAACAGATGGGTTTCCTGGAACTAGAAAATAACTTTCATTTCATTTTTAATACTATTTTTAGGAGCAGCGTCAGACTTTCCAGGTAATTAGACAATTACTAAATTATACTGGTCACTGAGGGGACACACAGTGCTCTGGCTTCCTGCTCGGTTAACCTCTGATGTCAAGAGGACAAAAGTTTCGCTTCCAGGTCAAAGGGCAGTAACAGTAATTAGAATAATGAATCAGAACTACAGTTTAAATGAATCATCATTTGCCAAGTGCTTTTAATTACAAAGAATTTAACACTGAGATTGTAAAAAGGACCAAAAATTTACAGAGAAATGATCACTGTCACAATGCAAAAATGCATGATAAGCAACTCGGGCACATTCAATCATTTAAACTGAAAAACCCGTGTCCTTTGGGTTTTTACACATTACTCGGCACCTGGACTGACCCACATTATTAATATCTGTCAGCAGAAACAATCATCACAATAGCTGACCAAACAATTACTTTGGTTTGCAATGTTACTACTTATTGTAACAAAGGCTTTGGACACATAAAAGCCGTTGGCCACATGAAAAGCTCTGGATTTCCTAAATAAAAGAATCCATTACATGAGGAAGTCAAATGTGATCAGCTACCATTGACATGCCAAATGAAGAAAACCACACATGAACTGGTTTTCCAAATCAGATTGAATGCTCACCAAAATGAACAACTAAGCCAAGTATGATGACCTGAAGTTTCATGAAGACACAAACCATTTGGGGTCTATCAGACCACTGGGCTGAGGGTCAGGTGCTAGTCTTTCAACACCTTTGGCAACTCAAGTCATAGCCTTGTGTTTCTGTTTCCTCATCCATAAAATAAGTGAACCAATATCTGTCCCCCCTCATAGGACTAGCATGATGATAAAACAAGAATTCTTAAGTACTTTCAAAGTAAAATCCCACACATGTGGGTATGGCAACTCTTAAAACAGTTAACAGCAGTATTATCTTACAGCCAAGTGCGATCAATTTGAGAAGGGACACTCTTCAATCTCTCCAGCAAGCTCCCTGGAAGAGTTTCAAATCTTACAGTGTTTATCTCTATACCCTCTCCCCAGGCCCTTTAACCCAGACACATTTCTTCTTACTTAAAAAAATGCCAGTGGAAAACAAAAACAGATGTAGTAGCCAAGAAGGCAGGTTACTAACTCATTTTGCCCTGGGGAAAAACATCAGTCCCTCACATAGGGAAAATAAAAAGGCTTCATGTGAGGTCAGAAGAGATTTCATAACCAAACACAAATAAGATGTGTGGGACATTCAGATCTCTGCATAGAGAGTAATTCTGCAGGGTCATAGCTCACAAAAGGAAATCAGGCACCTCCTGCTCCTCATTAACGAAGCACTACAAACACTTTTACAGATGCTAATTCTAGGCTGTGTTAAAAGAAATCTGTTTTAAAATTAAATTTCAAGTCAGAATGTACAACTGTTTTATTTCTCATAATAGGTACTATATGTTATGAATATTGTACAAAATTTACATAAACCGCAAATAAATGATGAATGTCAATACAAACCATTAAAGAAAAGGAAATATGAAAATTCAAACATCTTGGTTTCCTATAGTAATTTTCAAAGGTTCACAACTCAACCAAATCTTCCAAATTTTTCAAAGTGCCAGAGAAAAATGTAGAAGATTAAATAATTTATATTTTCAAATAAAGAAATTGAGGCACAAAGTGATTAGTAGACTCCATTCACTCTATGACATGGAAGAATTCTTCAGCAAAATTTTAGAGATCTCCAAGAATAACATGGCTTTTCATCCCTACTTATTTAGATATTTACCTGGCTAAAAACAGGATTATTATAATTATATGTATTATAATTATAATACAACACCTAGCATTTATGTAGTACTTTAAGATTTGCCAAGCACTTTATATATTATCTCATTTGCTCCTCACAACAACCTGGTGAGCTTTATAGTATTATTATTCCCATTTTGCAGATGAGGTTCACACAGATAGTAAATGTCTAAGGCAGGATTCAAATTCAATTCTTCATCACTCTAGCCACTATGTCACCTAGCTGCCACTCTATGCTTCTAAAATAGTGTCTATGGCTCCTGTCTATGACAATCTGAATCTAATTTTTAAAAGTTAATGATTCTAGGGGCAGATAGGTGGCACAATGGATGGAACACCAGCCCTTGTGTCAGGAGGACCTCAGTTCAAATCCAGCCTCAGACACATAATAATTCCTAGCTGTGAAACTCTGGGCAAGTCACTTAACCCCAATTGCCTCACTTAAAAAAAAAAGTTAATGACTCTCAAACAGTACCAAAGTTGAAACTCAGTTACATTCCTTGAACATATACATGAATAGTTAGAGAGGGGCAGGGTGGTACAGTGGATAAAGTACTGGACTTGGAGTCAGAAAGACCTGATACCTTCTATGTAACCCTGAAAAAGTCACTCAGCTTTTCTACTTGGCTTCAGTTTCTTCATCTTTAAAATGGGGATCATAATATTTGTACTAATCTCACAAGACTGTTGTGAGACTAAAAGGAAATAATGCATGTAAAGTACTTAGCAAACCTTAAAACACTATCTAAATGTTCTTTTTTTAAAAAATCAGTAAAAAGGTTGCAGCTAATTCACAATAGGCATTTGATATTTATCGAACATGTGAAAAGCTAACTTTATTCAAAGATTCATTATGGGAGAAGCAATATGGTGTAGCAGATAGAGATCTGACCTGAGAGCCAGGAACACCCCGGTTCAAGTCTCACCAGGACACATTCTGGCTGTGTAGTCGGACTTTTAAGCAAGTCACTTGCTATGGGCAATTCTCTTAATACTTTAAGTTGCAGAAAAGAGACTAACCTACATTGCAACAGGGAATTTCTTCACCTAAGAGCACCTATATTAATGAAACTAGTCAAGTCTCTTTCTCTGTGGGGTTGGCTATTTACTTTACAAATAAATTACACACCTTGCAAAAGCATTCATTAAAGATAGAATTACTCTAAAAATAGCAAATTTCCCTAGGGAATTACTTAGTTTTTGAACAATAATTTACAAATTTCTACCTCTAACTTAATAGAGCAGCTAGAGGGCACAGTGGATAGACCACTGAGCCTGGAGTCAGAAAGACCCGAGTTCAAATCCAGCCTCAGACAAGTCCTAGTTGTATGACCCTAGGTAAGTCACTTAATTCTGCTTGCCTTAGTTTCCTCATCTGTAAAATGAGCTGGAGAAGGAAATGGCATACCACTGCAGTATCTTTGCCAAGAAAACCCGAAATGCAGTCACAAAGAGTAAGACAGGACTGAAATGATTCAACAACAACAATTTCTAGCTTAGTACTCCTTAGCTAGCACAATGCTTGACACAAAGTAAGCACTTAATTCTCATTGACTTGATTTCTAGACAAATAAATGCTCTCTGAAGGCAGGAACTGCCTGTTTCTTTGTCTTTGTATCACAAACCCCAGCCCAGTTTTTTACATAGAGTAATTACTTAATAAGTGTTTGTTGAGTTGAATTGAATTCTTAGAAATACAATTATTATATAAATTAAGGTATACCTGGTACCTCACAGGCATACATACTTGCCTAGCACCATTGTTTCCTTAAAAACACAACTTTCAGCAAAAAGTCTATTATCAGGTGCAGCTAGTTCCATAGAAAGAATGATATAAATATTACATGTGGGCAGTCATGCAAATAACACTGAGGCATTTTTGTCATGTTACAACAAGGTTTGCTTATCATCTAACGGCTTTATTATAGGAAAATCCTGGTCAGATCACTGACACATTTGTTTTGTTTTTGCTCTGTTTAAGTAGCAATAGGTCTGTAGTAGAAATGACTTCCCAGGGAATTTGGGTCATCATTTGGTATGCTGGGCAGCGCAAGAAATCTCAAACTGAGTACAGAGAAAGATCTATTATAGCTGAAAAGTACACTGAGGGAGTTTTGCCCTCCTGCACCCATCTGTGGTACAGAAAGGGACAGGAAGAAGAAAAAGAAGTAAAAACCACCATCAAAATCAATAATGCTTCCAAGTGATACAAGTAAAACTCTTCCATACATGAATTTCACTGAAAGAAACAAACAAGGATAATATATCTGTCCACATCTGTAAAATCAAGAGATTCAACTACATCATCTCTAAGGTCCCTTGCAGCCATAACATTCCATTTTCTATGTAACTAAGGTCCTTCTCAATTCCAACATTCTAAATGTTATGTTCCAAGATCCCTTTCAGTAGTTACATTCTATGATTATGAAGAGAGAAAATAAAAAGGCAAGGAATGACTGAATAAAAACCTTAGTTGCCAGTAAATGGCATCTATGACACAGGGTTTCTCACCCCATTAAGTATAGTTAATGGTGATTAAATTAACCTGATCTTCTTCATCCCCCACCTGCAAGATATTTTATATAATATTATAAGGAACAGGACTA